AAGGAAGAGGGTAGGGAATGTAAGAGAATGAACTGGAATGGGTGTTGCTAGGCCTTCAGATGTGGGGCTACTTGTGACAGGAGGCTGGGCATGGATGGAAAGAGCTGATGGGATGAAGGCGAGATGAAATCTGAAGGGATGTGGGATTGTAGGAAGTGGTTCTTGGAGCAGGACATGCATGGACAGGACCTTGGCTAGCAGGACCTCTAGAACATGGCTGAAGAGCTTTGCCCTCCCACCTTCTCCTCTTCAAACACCGATCCAAGGTTTACCACCTGTGAAGCTGATACCACTTGCGTTCTAGAGTTGGCTCTCCCTCCCAGAAGGGAGAAGCTGTGAGCCTGCCTGTCCTACCTATGGGCAGGTGAGCATGGGACAAAGCGTATGGGAAGGAGACTGAGATTCCCTTCGCCAGGTTCTGCCCTAACCTGCTTAAGTCTCAAAGTTCAGATTGGCATTCCCATGACCGCTCCTCCACTCTCCTTCTTCCCCAAACTCAACTACCATACCAGGAGATGCCCATACTCTCCAGGATTTGTCCTCTTCAAGGGACTAACTCTATCTTGATCCAGTCCAAAGTGCCCCCAGGACCCTCCCCAAAGCCACCTGATCTCTCCCTCTCCCCTTTATTCATTTCTCTGGAACCTGTTAAAAACAACTCGCCTTTCTAAGACCCACTCTAGTCCCGCCCAACTATAGACCTGCCACACCTTGTGGGAGGACGCTGAAATTTGAGTTGCCCACCTAGGTTCCCTTCTCCAGATCCCTAGCTACGCTCCCAACATGTGCCCTAGAAAGCTTCAACCCCAGAGTACTTGCTCTCTGCTAACTCAAGTTCTAACTCCACCCCTTCCCCCAGACCTTTGAAGATGGCGCAGACCTTTGCCGCTCACTTTTGGGCCACGCAGTGTCGATGGCAGTCACTGAGTCAATATCTCTGTTCCAGTGCTGCCACGTACCAAGGCCAGGTGGTGGGTCTGGGAAGCCACCTCCCGGAGCCTTCATTGCCCTCGAACTTCCACCATCCTGGACACTGCTGCGAGTGGGAGTGGAGGTGGAAGTGGCAGGGGCCCCTGGGGAGCACCCTTCCAAGACATCAAAGAGTCTCATTCCTCTTCCTCCTTGCCTTCCAAATGCCTCAGTCCAGTTCCTCCTCCCTTGGACTCAGCAACTCCTGGTTGATTCAAAAATCAACCCAACTCTCCTTTATTTCAACCTCTCCCTCCTGAATAAAGTTGCTAGCTAGAGCAGCTAAGGTAACTGCTTCTTGGGAAACTGAGTGGGAAGAATTGTCGGAAATTGATAGGTCTTATTCCTAATTTAAGGAGCTCTGGTAGTGTAGTGGTTACAAATCAGGGCTGCTATCCTCAGGGTCAGCAGTTCAAAACTACCAGCTGTTTGGCGGGAGAAAGATGAGGCTTTCTGCTCCCTTAAAGATTTACAGCTTCAGAAAACCTGTACAGGGTCGCTATGAGTCAGAACCGACTCCACGGCACATCACATCAACAACAATATTCCTAATTTGGGAGTCCTAGTGTGGCGCTGTGAGTTAATGCGCCAGACTGCCAAGCCGTTTGAACTGCAAGGTTGCTCCCTAGAAACCCTATACAGGGTCGCTATGGGTTGGAATCGACTTGATGGCACTTAACAACAACATTCCTAATTCTCATATTCTAGGGTTAGAACTGATTTATACTCAAGTGTCAATGATGGTTGTCCTACACCTGAAGCATCTGTCAGAACTGGAAATGCCTAGATGTCAGAAATGGGTGGAGGGGGGGAGGTAAAAAACCTCATCATGAAGCTCCCTGAGTTGTATAGACCTCAATACATCTTACAGGGCTTTGCCCTCTAATTAGGGAAGCCTGGTGATGTCTGGTCTATGCCCTTTCCCCCAACCCATATCCCAGCCCTTGGACCTAAGGCAAAGAACTGGGCTCAGATTCAGAACTTGGACTGCAAATACTATTTCTAATGCTTCTCCCTCAGAGAGCCTGTTGCTTTGCCTATTAAGACAATGTCCCCATTCCCTACTCTCAGGGAAAATGGACTAGTATAAGCAGAGAAATGTGACCTGCTGGAAGAGTACCAGGCAGATAGATCTCTTTCAGCTGCAATAGACAAGCTCCTCTCAAAGTATCTGGATCCAAAACCAAACCAAACCCACTGCCCGAGTAGATCCTGACTCAGAGTGACACTTGAGGACACACTAGAACTGCTCCTTTGGATTTCTGCAATGAAATCGTTATGGAAACAGACAGCCTCATCTTTCTTCTGTGGAGGGGCTGGTGGATTTAAGCTGGTGGTGGTAGTTATGTGCCATGGAGTCAGTTCCGAAGGTAGCAGAAAGTCTCATGTTTCTCCAATGGAGCCGCTGGTAGTTTCAAACTGTTGACCGTGCAATTAACAGCCTGACTCATAACCACTACGCTACCAGAGCTCCTTAAAACAGTGACTTAAAAACCAAAATATAGCTTCAGGGATAGCTGTATCTAGGCTTTTAAATGATGTTAGGATGTTCTCTCTGTCTTGGCTCTACGTTGCACCTCACAGGGTCTCACAGTAGCGAAAATAGCCTAGTAACTCCATGTTTCCAGTGGCTAGTGTGACTATTATTGTTGTCATTCAGTCGGCTCTGACTTATGTTGTCCCATGTACAACAGACACCTTGTGTGGCCGTGTGTCATCATCACAATCACTGGCATCCTCAAGCCCATTTGTGCAGTCATGATGTATTTTAAGTGGCTTCCACTTTAGGGGGCTCATCTTCCAGCACTATACCAGACAATGTCCTCTTGTGATCCAGAGGGTTTTCATTGGCTAATTCTCAGAAACAGGCCAGCAAAACTTCTTAGTTTGTTGTTACTCTGAAAGCTCTGCTGGAACCCGTCCACCATTAGTGACCCTGTTGGTATTTGAAATATCAGCAGCATAGCTTCCAGAGTCATAGCAACGTAAAAGTCAGCACAGCATACAAACTGACAGGGGTGGGGGAAAGCATGCCTAGTTCTCTGTGAGCTCAGATCACTGAGGCCAGCATTGCTCCAGTTTGGTCATGAACTCATCAGTGAGCCAATCACTATGAGTGAGCAGCGGGATGCTATGCTGATTGGTCGGATCTGGGTTATGGTAGTAGTCCTGTGGTAGGCTCCGTTCCACCTGAACCACACTGATTGAGAATGGGAGGAGATGCTTCCTCAAAGACAGGTGCTGGATTCGAAGGGGATCAAGTTATATGGACTGCAGAAAATGGTGACTTCAATTCTGGGTCTCAATTATTTTATAAGGGGGCCTTTTCCCCCACAAACTTGTCAAAGCCTCTTTATTAACCTGGGCTCACAGCCACTTACTCATGCTGTAACTTTGGGCATGTTGGTCACCCTTTCTGAGCCTGTTTCCACATGTATAAAACGTAAGACAACAATTGGTCTTCTCCCAGGGTTGTTGAGAGAATTAAGTAAGTCAGTGTAAATTGCTCTGGTTATCCATTGCTGTGAAACGAAAGCAACCCCAAACCTAGTTATCACAGAACCATCATTCTCTCTCAAGGTGCTGAGGATTTACTGGGCTTGGCTGGGAGGTTCCTGATTGAGGCTGCTCATACAATTGCAGACAATGACTTTAAAGATGTCCTCATTTTCCTGTTAAGTGCCATGGAGTGGGTTCCTAGTGACCCTGTAAGGGTTTCCAAGGAGCAGCTGGTGTATTTGAACAGCTGACCTTGCCACCCATTGCATTATCTTATCTTGCAGTGCCACACCGACTCTGCTATTTGGCAGGTAAGGCTGTCAGCCAGGACAGCTACCTGTGGCCTGTGTATGGCCCGGGCTTCTCACAGAATAGCAGCCAAGTTCCTAGGGTAAGTGCCCAAGAACCACATCCCAGGTGGAAGTGGGCTCACTTAAGATGGCCGAGCTTTGGAAGCCACACAAAGTCACTTCTGTTGGTTTCTAGTCATTAAATTGAGCCACTAATGCCAACTTGTACTCAAGGTAAGGGGACATAGACTCACCTAATGGGGCTTGTGGTAAGCACTGGACTGCCAACAACAAGGTCAGTGGTTCAAACCCATTGGCTGCTCCTCAAAAACCCTATATATAGAGTCGCTGAGTTGGAACAGACTCAATATTAACTACTATGAGAGGAATGTCAAATAAAATGCTTAGAATGTGCCTAACACATAATTAACACCCCATCAATGCAGCTATCATTTATTTTAGTGGATGTTGTTACTATTGTGATGAGGGACTTCCAGGCAGATTATGCTGTGGGGAAGGGCATTCTGAACAGTCTGCCTGCAAAGGCCTGGAGGCTAGAAATCTCATGTTCTAGGGACTTCCATGTCAGGGAGCCTGGAGCAGATCATGGGAGATGAGGTCAGATCACAAGAGGCCTTGAACATGCTACAGGGCAAGAGCCATGGAAGGCTTGTGCGGGGCAAGACCTTCAGACTAACAAACTTGGAAGCAGTGGGGGAGAAGAGGTGACTGGAGATGAAGGGGCACCAGTGAGAATACTGGGCAAGGTCCAGAGGGAGGGCAGAAGGGAATGGAGTCCACAGAGGAATACCCACAGGGCTGTGGATCTGTGATGGTTTCAAAGTTCACAAGAGGCAGAGTTGGTGTTAACCTCATTTCAAATGAGACCTGGGGGTCTTCAGCAGGTCTAGTGTGGAGCCCAGGACTTTGCATTACTAATAGAAGACTCTGTGGTGTAAAGAAAATGAGGAAGATCTTTGGATAACCATTTGGAATAATCACTAAGTTCCATTTGATTCATTATAAAGAATAATGTACACGATCATTTAAGTGTATTTATTTTTAAGCAAAATAAAACCATTCAACCAATGCCTACCCTGTTTCACTTCCCAAAGGGTCCCTCCAACCACAGAGCACACCAGTTACTCCATCTCCATCTCAAAGCACAAACCCTACACTAGGCTTTGGTTTTAATCACAAACGAGGGAAGGGGGACACAGGTCAAGGGGGGCTGCCTGGCTCTTAGAGGGTACTGGCTGACTCCAGGCCACGTTCCTGGAAATACCGGTGAGGAGTGTGGCGACGGGGGCTTTCACTGAGAAAGTAAGATGTGATCCTCCCAAGGCCCTCCTGGTCCTCTGCTGAGGAGTCCTCCCTGTGGGAGAGAGGTAACAACAGTGACTGCCTCCCGGGGAAGCGAGTGCTCCTAGTTAGGGTCAAACCCAGACCTCACTCCCTGCCCACAGCAGCACCTGGGAACTCACCATATAACACCTTCCGCCTCCTTCTCCAGGATGCTCTGGGCCGTGCGCCAACTGAACCGGACAAACTGGGGGAAGCCGAACACAGGCTCCACGTGCTTCTTCAACCATGCTTTTGTCTTGGGATCTGGGAGACAAGGTGGACAATGGTCCCTAAATTGCACCAAAATGTCCAAGCTCCTCAGCCTGACATCTAGGCCTCCTTCTGCCTTTCAGAGTCACCCTCCACTGAGCATCTTTCTGCCTCAAGAGCGTTACACAGACAGCCACCCCCTTTGCCTGGCCAATAGTTGCTCAAATTGCAGCTCAGGGACATAACCACTGGCTCTCACTGACATCCCCCCTTCCAAGGACAACAGTAATCAAATCAGCATTTGTTGACCTAGCTGCCCCCATGGGTCTGGCATTGCACGGTATCTACCAGGAGCACAAAAGTGCTAAACCGTTGTCCAAACCATCTTCTGCCCAGACCCGATTTCCTTACTTTGGTCTTTCACCCAAGTTCTAATCGCAGACTCGCTGTGCTGCCCCACCCAACCCCACCCCACTGCCAGCCCCTCTATGGGCCTCCAAGAAGGATAGGAAGGTTCCTTGAACCCAGCCACTGAACCTTGTTATCTGCTCTGATAAGTGTGTAAAGTGGGAAGAGGGGACATGATCCTCCTTTCAAGACTGAGCCTAAGAATTGGAGGAAACTCAGGGGGCCAGGACTCAAGTTACAGCTTGAACAGCAGCTGAATCCTTCCCCTTTGATGTGTGAATTGGGGTCTCAGCCCCTTACTGGGGCTCCAAAGAGACAGGAAAATGGGAAGGGAGGCCGGCACTGCTACACAATAACTGTATGGCAGTAGGTAAGTGATGCCCCAGGTCTCAGCTACTTCTGATACAGAGTGGGATTATCAGACCAGTTTAGAAAACCTCAGACACTCCAGGAGCATGCTCAGCCTTGGCTGGCTTAGCATTAGTGCTGCTGGTGCTATCTCAGGGCAGTCTGCTTACCATTGGGGTAGCCCGAACCATAATTGGCATCCAAGTCCGGCAGTTTCTCCACGAACTGCCAGTCCTTCACTGCCTTGTCTCGGGCCACCTGTAGGCAGGACAGACACTTGAAATCTCCTTCCCCCACAGCAACCACAGCCTGTCCTTTTCCAAAGGGGATGCTGGAATCTGGTCCCAAGCCCACTGGAAACTGACCTTGGCACAGATGCTGGCAGCACTGACCACAGGGTACAGTGCATCAGCTTTGGCCTTGACCGTCACCTCAATCCCAGGAAAGCGCTGCTGCAACCGGTCCTGGTATTTCTCTGGCAGACCCACGGTGTCCACAAATACCTGCCACAGAGATAGGAGTGCATTTGGCCAACAAACACCCTGAAAAATAACTCTGTATACGATCCAGTCTCATGGCCTTTGCATTCCTGTTCCTGCTGCCCAGCATACTCTTCTTCCATCTCCTCCCTAGATTGGATCTTTCTTACCAGTTTGTATCAGGGATTTCATTAAACGTCATCGCCCAAAGAGGCTTCCTATGACCACCTGATTGGGCACCTACAGTGTGCTAGCAGCTGTGCTAGGTGCCAAGGACACAACAGACAAAAACCCCTCCCTTGTGGAGCAGACTAACAGATAAGGACCACAAGCAGGAAACAGAACAAACAACAAATCTTAGGGGAACAGATGGAAGGGGTTCTAATTTAAAGGTGGTACGGGAAGTTCAAGGGAGCCTGGTGGACTGTGAACCACAAGGGTCAGTGGCGGTTCCAGTCCACAAGCTGTTCCACAGGAAAAAGATAAGACTTTCTGTTTTCCCAAAGATCTAGAGTTTCAGAAACCCTATGTAAGGCCACTATGAGTCAGAACTGACTCAACACCACTTAACAAGAGAGATTCAAGGAAGGCCTCTCTAAGGTAATATTTCAAAAAGACCTGAATAAAGTGGGCAAATAAGCCATGTGTATGTGCGGGGGTTCCTGCCCTCCACACATGAGCGAATACGGGAAACGTTGGGTGAAGAAATGAATACAACTCGAGAGGCTTTTCAACTTGCTGTGCTGTCCGACTATGCTCTCTAGCTTCTGCCCTTGCTTCTGCCCTCTGCTCTCTGCTGTCTGTTCTCTGCCTTCTCCCTCCTGCTCTCTACTTCTTCCTCCTAGCTCTGCCTTCCCTGGCTCTGCTAGTTCCTTCTGCTTCCTTCTCCTTTCTTTCTTCTTCCTTCTGCTTGCCCAGCCCAGCAAGTCTTTATTTTTTATACTTAAAATTACACAGTACATGCATTGACACTTTTATCATTTCTTGAATTATTACACAGTTAGTCACAACATTCTTGCACCTGGTCATTAGACATCCTTGACAAAAATACTTCTATGATGTTCAGACTGACCTTCATCTCCTTGCCCAGCCTGAGATAAAACTGTTTCTTCTTGTTTCTACTAAAACTTTCTATCCTACATAATGTAGTATTATTTTTATAATAAAGGTATTCATTAAATCACTTGGAAGCTATGTGGCATAAAGCTCAACTTGGCTACTTGCTGCAAGAAGTGTAGATTATTAAGTCAAAACTATTCTTCATTTAAGTTCATTATTGTCTACTTATTTATGCAGGTGTCTGTATGTAGGGGTTTGTGAATTCTAGCTAGTGACTGAATGTGGTGAGGTTTATGGGGGTAGGTCAGCTTGAGTCTAATATGATATCTGCTTTTGTGGCCTCACAAATGCAGTTACTTAGGTTTTCTATGAGAAGGAGTAATTTATACAATTTCTCTTTGTATTCAATCCACCAAGGCTGAAAGCAATTGCTGCTAAGCTAGTTTTTCCTAAGGTTTGTAAAACTCATAGTGAAAGCTGAGAACATTGCCAAATTATATATTTTTACAAGTCAATTCAGGGCTAACTTGAAGGGAAGATAGGGGTCAGCTTTTGAGAATCATATGCCGTGCATAATGTCTCTCCTCTTAGTGCGGCCTTGCCAAGCACCCAGAGTTAAGCGCTTCCCGCATGTTATGTCTAGGAAAAAGTGCTCAGGGAAACACCAGAGCAAAGGCCTCGAGGTGGGAACACCTCAGATATGCTGGAGAGCAATAGGAGGCCACAAAACCAGAGCAAAATGCTGAGAATTAAGATCAGGGAGGTAGCAGGGGCAGGTGACAATCATGAAAGTTACCATTCTCAGAAGGTACCCTTATTCTGCTATTTACCAGCTGCTTGTCCAATTTTCTGATCAGTCCCAGAACCCCCAAGAGCAGGGCCCTAATCTGTCTGATCCAAGGCTGCCTTGTTAGCTCTACTTGCCCAGCCTGGCGAGAGGCCTCCTGTCCCAACCTCAAATATTTCCTTTTGTTATTCTCTCCAAATAGCCTGGTCTTTGCCTCAGTGCACTTAATGCAATGTGGATTTATGCTTCTCCCTAAAACTTAATCGCTCCCCTCCTCAACTGTAAATTCTCCTGATTTAATCCAGTGATTAGTAAATCAAATGTCAGATAGAAGGGGGAGCAGGACTTAAAGTGGGAAAACCAGAAAGGAGGCTTGGGCAGGAGTCCAGCTAGGGGTGTCCTGGGCTAGGAGGGAAGCTGTGGGCAGGTGAACAGAAGTGGAATTTATCTGGACTGTTGAGTCTTTAGGAAGACAGATTAGGTTGGGTGGAGGTGGGACTGAGGACTCCACACTGCTCCGTGATGGGACACACATTTCAGGCAGTGACAGAGGTAGGAAGTCAGTAACACCATCCAACACTTGCTACGCTTCTGGTGCTGAACTTGCTGACTGCACTTTTTTTACCCGAGTCCTGATGTGGTGCTGTAGGATAAGCATGGGGCTACTAACCAGGAGGTCAAAGGTTCAAACCCACCAGCTGCTCCTCAGAAACTCTATACAGGGTTACTCTGAGTCAGAGCATACTCCATGGCACTTAAAAACATCCAGAGTTAATCAGAGGAGGGCAACCCAGGCATTAGAAGTTACCTGAGTGACGTTCACACCCTGGTCCAACGCATGCTGCACCAGCCCAACAGCCGTATCATGGGACAGGGAGTTCAGGTTGTATTTGACCCTGAGGTGCAGGAGCAGAGCCTAGTTAACCCCTTTTCAGAAGCAGAGCCAGACCTCACATATTCCTTATTCACTCCCCTCCCCATAGAGCTGGCTGCACCTCCATCCCAGCCACTGGGGGGACCCCTCACCGCCCAAGCATGCTGGTAGAGATGAGATTTGGAGACAGCACGTCCAGTGCCCAGCCCACAAAATCCCTGTCCTTCTCCATTTTCGCAAAGAGCCGGTCCCGCTCGCTCTCCGACAGGGTCTTTGAGTCTGGGAGAAGGGTTGGGAGAGAAGATTCCTGCTTCTCTCGGTTCCTGCCCTCCTCCTCCAATTCTCACTTGCCCCCGCACCTACCCTGGAACCACCTTCCCAGATGTACTCCCCCGATGCCCCAGGCTCACCTGCCACTTTCAAGGCCTTTAGCTCTGCCAGGCGGGACAGGGGGCAGTAACAGATGGCGTAGACCATGGGACCTAGGGAGGAGGAGTGTCAGATTTCCAGGAGTGGGGAAGGCCCCCAAGTCCAAGCAACGAGCCCGCGAAAGCTCCCATCCCTGTTCCATCATCACCACAGTTTTGGCTCATGGGTTCAACGCCAAGGCCATCACGTTTATCATGGCCCTCTCCCACCCCTGGCCCATGGAGCGCACCCAGCACGGGTCCCCGGCCCGCCTCATCCACGCCGAGGGCGCAGGGCTCCTTGAGGCACACTGCGGGCACAGGTGAGCTCAGGCGACAGCGGCCTGTATTGTCTTCCTCCAGTTCGCTAAGATCCATGCTTTCTTCGCCTTTGCAGCCACCGACAGCCGCAAGGATGAAAGCAGCAAGCTCAGTCTTCCGCGCACATCTGGCGCGGGTTCAGCGGCTCCCGCTACCGACCAATCGGTGCACAAGACACGCCCTCGACGAAGTTGACGCTTGCGCAATCGACGCCGACGCCACTGCCGCGCACTTTCCTGGGAATTGTAGTTCTTGAGATCGACCGCAAAGTGCTTGTGGTGAAGAACCAGGTGGACTGGACCACTTTCCAACCTCCGTTCGGCGGGCTCCAGATCCCCTCCCAGAGAAGCTGATGGTCCGAAAGGGAAATAAAATGGAAAACTGAATCAAGGCATGGAGAACCCGGCCCTGTATCCTTCCAAAACAAGGGTCTCCCCATCACTAGGTTCCCCACTTGGATTCAGGCCTTTATCACGGGATTGCTGCCCACCCCTAAAGTTTAAGCGCCCTGAATTAGGTATTGCCGCTCCTGCCTGAGCTCAGACTTCGGGGTCCCACCCTTACTGTCTCGGTTGCTCACTCGTATTTGGGATCTCTGCCTGCTCCCTGCAGGATCCCTACCTCCAACCCTTTGTAAGCTGAATCTCTCCTCCACTTCCCCACCAGGTTCCACCCAGTTTACGATCTCGTACTCCTGGTCTCACTCACCACGGAGGCTCATTTCCCGGACTCAAGGTTATGTTCTCTCTCTCCCGCAGACTCCCACCGCTCTTCTTCTCTACCGCAATCTCAGTAAGGCTCCAGCCCCCTAGTCTAGTCTGCGACCGTTATCGGTTTTCTGCCATCACCCTTCACCAGGCTAATGCCCTTACTCAAGACACCAGTTTACTCCTCCACATCTTCCCCATTATTCCGGTCCCCTGCTGCCTTTCTTTTTTTACTTCTCTGGGACTACTCCAGAGGGGTTCACCTTCTCTGCCCCTTCTCAGGGTCACATGTCTGGGTTTGGTGTTGCCGCCCCACACAGCCCTTCTTCCACTCTCCCCGCGCCACCTCTGAGACTCACGTCCTTGAATTTGACAGCCCGGGTCAGGGCCTTCTCTCCATGCCAGTCTCTCACCCGGTCTCAGGGTCTCTAGTTGCACTCGATCGCCTTGCAGGATGGACAGTCCCGTTGCCTGCAGGCCCGCACCTGCACCAACTTCTCGCGGTCCATGAACACTGGACCCGGTGCTGTGCCCAACACCTCGCGGCTGCGCTCCTCCTTCCCCAGTTCGCAGAGACAGTGCCACTTTCCCCAAGGGCTCAGGATCAAGTCCACGGAGGCGTCTGGGTGTGGAGGACTGACATGAAGATCCAGGTAGAAGGGAGCAATCCCCCTATGCCCATCTATAGCCACTGAGCCAGGTGCAGTAACTGAGACGTCTAGAAAGCAAGCTATCTTTCTGAGTTCACACATCTGGTGTAAAGCCCATCTGGATATGAACTGACATTTCCCATCTGCGCCAACCTGCCCATTTGGGAGTGTGGTGCATCCTCCTAGGTGCTCAGAATTTGATTCCAGCCTTCAAGGGTGTGGTCTCGGCCTGGCCAGCGGGCACCATGCCACCAGACCAGCACGACTGTCAGGTGGTAAATTAAATGACATAATTAAATGACATAATTAAATGACATAATGAAGATACTTAAAGCCTCTGGCGCTATGTTAGCACATAGAACAAAAACAATTCTTAGGAATAGTTTTAAAGCAGTTACTACTTATTAAGGGAAGGAGCACTGGTAGCGTAGTAGTTATTGAGGTCAGCAATTCGAAACTACCAGCGGGTTCTGCAAGAGAAAGATGAGGTGTTCTGCTCCCATAAAGATTTGGTGGTGGTGATGGTAGAGCTGGTGGTGGTTATGTACTGTGGAGTTGGTCCCGAGTTACAGCGACCCTGCATAGGGTTTCCTGAGGCTATAAATCTTTACCAGAGCAGCAAGCCTCATCTTTCTCTTGCAGATCCACTGGTAGTTTCGAACTGCTGACCTTGAGATTAGCAGCACGATTCGTAACCATTACGCTACCAGAGCTCCTTCCCGTCAGCCTCTGAAACCCAGTACAGGGTCGCTGAGTTGGAACTGACTGACTCCACAGGACACCATCCCCCCCCACACACACACTTATTAAGGTATCCTGGTCTGGTGCTGTATAATTAGCAATGTACTGTTAACCACAAGGTTGGTGGTTCAAGCTCATCAGCTGCACTCTTACTGGCTGTCCCTTTTTTTTTTTTTAATGTTTTATTGTGAATTATATGATAGTTTACATGGGAGAACATTAGCTTTACATTAGCTTTACATTCATCCTATAGGATATCATTTCATTGTCATGGTTACAATCCCCTCCAAGCATCATCAACCAACCAAAGGGTATAGCCTGCAAGTCTGCCCCCTGGTCATCAGTACACAACCCCTCTCCCTCTCTGGGTCTAAAGTTCCCAGCTGCTCCATCTCCCCACTCATTGTCTCTGCCTCCATCTCTGGCATCACTGCTTCACTGGGTAAGGTCCCGCTCTCCCCTCTTCTCCTTTGATGGTCCCGGGGACCTCCGCTCTTAGGCTCCTAGACTGCAAAGTTAATCACTCTCCTCCTTGCTACAAAGCATCTACCTTTACATTTCCAACCCTCACAATCAGTCCTGATAACAATTATTCACTATTGTATCACAAGAGACCTATTCGCATCTCCTTTCATAAGCCCGCCTAGACAGATTAGATACTACTCAATGGAGATTCTACCTTCCTCCAGGCCCTCTCTGAATCTAGGTTCCCTCTTGAAAGCTTGTAAGCCTGTCACTTCTTGCCTTTGTAGCTCCCCTTCCCATTTTGGGTAGCCAATGTCCAAGTTGCCCATCCCTGTCTATTATGTGTATGGAGGGTGTGGGAATGATCCTTGCTGTAAAGATTTTTTCCCTCTTTTAAACTACTGCATCCATAGATGTAGGTCAAGTTTATCAAATTGTATCAGATTACTCTTTTTTTTCCTCTTCTTTCTTCTAGTTGAGCTCTGATCATCCAGTCATTGAAGCCACTTAGGTCACGTGGGTATTATCTGCAAATATGGGTGTTCGTATGCATATGTCCTCTCTTCTTATCAGCTGGACGCTTCACTCTCCACTCTAGTCCTCTGTGGCTATGTCACTGACTCTGGGCCCAAGAGTCCCCAGGTCTTGCCACACTGCTGGCCGACCAGGTCTCCACCCAGGTTCACAGGAGTCTATTGAACCTTGTAGGGCTTAGCTCTCTGCTTCATTGCTGGTTTTCCCTCACTTCCCCTTACCATTGATGAACGTGGTCACCAATCAGAGTGTGTATTCCCATTGAGTCTTGGAAGGGGGTTTGCCCTGAGGGGCCCCAACCACTTGGCTTGATGTCTCCTGGATGACCAACTTGCTTGTTCTTGTAGTAATCAGTCGGTGGATGTCTCTTTCGAGATACATTTTGCTGATTCCTCTCTATGCCCCCATTAAACAGGTCTTATCCTGATTCCATGGCTCACGAAGCCCTGAAACATCCCCTACATTTCTTCCTCTCTAAGCCTCCACCACACTGGCCTCTTTTCATTCCTCTTTTAGGCCTTTGAGCCTTTGTACTTGCTGTTCCTTTTGGCTGACACACTCTTTCCTCTTGGCTCTTGTTTGTCATTCTGGCTGCACTAGTTATATAGCTTGTTCGCCTGGGCTTTCTCTGGTTTCCCAAACTTGCTCATGCCCTTCTGTCTCCATCTTTGCTCTTCCTAGTACCTACCCATGAGTTTACTAATAGGTTTGCTTATTGCCTGCCTTGTCCCCTCTCCAGTTGTGAGCTGCTTAAAGGCAGTCTCCTTTCCAGTTTAGAAGGCGCCCTGATGGTGCTGTGGGTTAGGCACTGGCTTGCTAACTGCAAGGTCTAGGTTCAAACCCATCAGCTTCTCAGTGGTCTGCTCCCGTTAAGAATGACAGTGTGGGAAACTTTATATAGGGTCTCCATGAATTGGAATAGACTCGATTAAAGTAGGTTAATTTTGGATTATGAGTTGGAATCAAGTCGATAACTGTGGGTTCGTTTACAGCTGGGAAAACTGAGGCTCAGAGCAAAGTAGCTGGCCCAAGAGATGACCCCAGGGAGGAGTAGGACGGGGATCTACAGCTGAATGAGGGAGATCTACTTGCAGCCAGCTGTCGAAGTAGGTAGGCTTTTGTGGATATCATTCGGCACCTTCACTCCCACTACCTCCGGTTACCTTTTTCCTGCTGCAGCTGCTCCCAGAGGTCTCCTTCGCCCTGCTCGCCAAAATACTGATAGTCAGAGGCGCCCTGGACAGACGTCGCCAGCATTGGGAGTACCATAGGCAGCAGCAGCAGCGCCGCCCGGCTCCAGGTCATGCCGGACTCCAACCGCCCTCCGCGCGCTCTCGGGCCTAGCCCCGGGCAGGTCTGCAGCGCCGGCAATACCCCAGTGGCGGGCGCGGTGGTCTTGGCTGGCGGCGGCAAGTCTCCCCTGTCACCTGCAAGCGCGTGGACTCGACCGGCTGCGCTCCACCACCCCCCTGCGCCCGGCGCAGTGGACCCGACCGCTCTTCTTGTCCGCCCGCCCCGCGCGTCACGGTGCGGGCGGCTCATAAAAGGCTCGGCGACCCGGAGTGCACTTGACGCTGTGAACCTGAATCTGTACTCTGGCAGTCGGTGCGTCCGGCCCCTAGCTCACGAAGGTAAGGAGACTCCGAGTGCATCGGACTCGGGGGAAGCCCCTTTCCAGTAGCTTCGGCCCTATCCAGACGTAATCACCGGCTGCCTTTGTTTTCCTCCCGCCGCAGTGGCCGCCTTTGTCCTTGCGGGGGGAATCAAGGTCCGGAGCCTTGGAATACAGGCCAGATCGCCGTGCTCCTTGGCCCCTGCTTGCGGGGGCTTCATTTTTCTCCTCCCAGGACTGGGCCTTGCGCCACGGCGCTCCGACCGACTGGCTAAGGGGGCTGCTAGGCCACAGCGGCCGGGCAGCTGGTGCTCTGGTCAGGGGGCGGGACCCCGTAGCCTCAATGTTGCGCAGAACCGGTACCAGGAGGGTAGGGGTCCGTGTTATCGGTTGCACGGCTCTAACGGGGGTTCCCCGCACGCTTCATGACCTTGGGAAGGGAAGACAAAGGGTCTTCTGTTGGCGCTGATGGGACGGGGGGTCTCAGTTTTCAGTCATGGCCTCCGGCAACGCGCACATCGGAAAGCCCGCCCCCAGTTTCCAAGCAACTGCTGTGGTGGATGGTGCCTTCAAGGAGGTGAAGCTTTCGGACTACAAAGGTGAGGGGCGGGGCAGGGAGCGAGGCCCCAGCAGAAAAAGGTCTGGACCTTAACTCCTGGTGTTACCTTCCTCACCCACCCAGGGAAGTACGTGGTGCTGTTTTTCTATCCGCTGGACTTCACCTTTGTGTGCCCTACGGAGATCATTGCTTTTAGTGAGCATGCTGAAGACTTCCGCAAACTGGGCTGCGAGGTGCTGGGGGTCTCTGTGGATTCTCAATTCACCCACCTGGCATGGTATGAGGGGAGAGGGACAGCAGGAGGGTGGTGCGTAGCTAGGCCCACACCTTAGGGTCTGAGCTGACTTGGAGACCATTGCTCAACCTTTTGGCCTCCCTTTCCTGGTCTTGAAAATGATGGAAATAATGACACCCAGTCCTTAACACTGATGACAGTAATTAACATTTGGAAACTAGCTGCTTGGCGCAGAGAGTTGCAGATGCTTTATCTCCTTTAGTTTTTGGGAGGGAGAATGTATTGCCCCATATCATGAAGGCGGAAACTCCAATTTAAAGGAGTGAAGGGCTGGGCCCCAGGTCACAGCGCTGAAGAGCAGGACCAGGATTCTAGCTCACACATGCTTCCTGCCTCACTCAGGGAGTTGAGATGAACCTGAAGGAACGCTCCGAAAGCTAGAAGGTTTTAGTCTTCCCAGCCCCCAGAAAGAGCCCTTATACCCACTTCTGGGTGGAGTGGGTGAGGTTTCCAGGGCTCTGGTCTAAAGCCCCTTATCTCCCACCTCCAGGGCCCCCACTCCAGTCCTTATCTCACCCAGGCTCACAGGGTGAGGACCCTGCTGTGCTGGACATTCTGATGTCCCATTTCTGTTTCCCCAACCTACAGGATTAACACTCCACGGAAGGAAGGAGGCTTGGGCCCTCTGAACATCCCCCTGCTGGCTGATGTGACTAGAAGCTTGTCCCTTGATTATGGCGTGCTGAAGGAAGATGAGGGCATTGCTTACAGGTACTATGAGGCCCTCACTTGGACTCAGGGTGAGGGGACTCTGTTTATGCAACACCCTTTCTGCTCGCAGCTCTGTGAATTGTAGAGGGAGGTGTTCCCTCTTCTGGTTCTGGGAATCCCCAGCTCCTCACTGTGAACCCTGATGTCTTCAGGGGCCTCTTTATCATTGATGGCAAGGGAGTCCTTCGTCAGATCACAGTCAATGACTTGCCTGTGGGGCGCTCCGTGGATGAGGCTCTGCGGCTGGTCCAGGCTTTCCAGTACACGGATGAGCACGGTGAAGGTGAGTAGTTCACATGCAGATCCTCTATCACTCATGCAAATGCTCATTGCCTGCCCTACCACCTGAGCAGGGGCAGGTCAGGACCTCATAAACAATTCAGCTCGGGGCCTTGTCTTCAAGAAATGCCTAGAATGATGGGAGAGATACCCCAATATAATACAACATAAGGGTGGAGAACTGGGGCTTCAAAAAGTTCCTGGAAAAAACCCGTTATCTTTTCATTCATGACCCTTTTGTATAAGTCATATGAGATATTTGAGGAGATGAAGGAGCCCTGGTGGCCCTGTAGGATAAGCTCTAGACTGCCAACCACAAGGCTGGCAGTTTAAACTTCAGCTGCTCCATGAGAGACAGATGAGGTTTTCTGTTCACATAAAGATGTACAGCCTCGGAAACCCTGTACAGCATTGCTGTATATCAGATTCAATTCATTGACAGTGAATTTGGTATGTGTTTATACCAAGTCTGATTTGCATACTATTGGCGGGATCAGAGTCCCTTCTCATGTGGAAGTGACAGTCTCAAATTCCTATAGATGGATTTGAAGTATCTAAAAATAGAATATTGTTAAGTGCTGCCAAGTCAGTTCCGACTCATAGTGACCCTGTATAGGAACCGCCGACATTGCAGTCCAGTGCATTAATCCACAGCACCACACCAGGACTCCAAAATTAGAGTATTAGAACAGGAAAAATATCAGACAGAAAATACTGTAGCTAAGCCTGTGAGGGTAAACATGGGCTTCTCACAACATGCATAGTCTTAGACCTGGACCAGTAGGTGTTTCTTTTGTGACTCAGGCTCAAGTTTTTCCTTTGTGGGTCTCCTATTACTGTCTCTGTCTTGAACTTGGGGGTCACATGTGCTTTTCCTATGTCTTCCCACAGTATGTCCCGCTGGCTGGAAGCCAGGCAGCGACACAATCAAGCCCAATGTGGACGACAGCAAGGAATACTTCTCCAAACACAACTAGTCTGGAAGACAGGGGACACTTTTGGGCCCTCTCTCCCCAGCTGTTCCCCTACCTGGGCGTCCCATGCTGCCCCAGGAATGGCCAGGCTCTACCCCTTGAAACTCCCCAATATGGGACCCAGGAAGGTTGAGCTAAGGCCTTCTCATGTCCGTAGTTGCTAATGAATGGTGACCATCTTCTCCGAAAACAACCCATTGGGGTACAGGCCTAGGTGTACAATAAAGTATTAAGAACAGGTGTGCATCTGTATTAATGTAATCTCTGTACTGGCTATAAATCCCACCACCATGTTCTATCTCTTGTTTGGGGAACTGACCTTGCAGTTACTGCTATCTACCACCAGGGGGCAGTCATACCTCATTGTCACTGTACTCCCTCTGTTTCCTTAACCTGAGGTCAGTTTTGCAGGGAGAGGAAATAGACTGCTCCACGCTGCTTGCCCCTTTGCGAGGAGCAGTCTTTGGGTTTTCTACATCCTGAAACCTGGCTTTACAAGGCAGAACCCATACTTTGTCATCATGCAATCTGAGCTCTAATGCTGTTCAATAGCTTCCTTGGGTTTCCTCATCAGTAATAAAGGAGCTCTGGTAGCGTAGTGGCTACGAATCGGGCTGCGAACCTTAAGGTCAGCGGTTCGAAACTACCAGCCGTACCAGCCGCTCCGCGGGAGAAAGATGAGGCTTTCTACTCCCGTAAAGATTTACACCCTCGGAAACCCTGTACAGGGTCGCTATGGGTCGGAACCGACTCGATGGCACTTAACAACAACAACAACAACATGGGAATAAAGACCAACCCATATCTTTATGCCATATTATTATGCAAGTTAAAGGAGAGGAATTATGTGAAGCCCAGGGGCCCATCGTTGCTCAGGGCCCAATTAATGGTTACTAGGATGGTTGCCTTGAGCAGTTCAGTTCTGACCCCTGCTGCAGGGACTATGCTCTAGCTGGGAAGTACTGCCCATCTACCCTTGGTGTGGAAGGGTAACTGTTAGGTGAGAGGCAGGTGTTGGAGCAAATCAATGTTCCCAGTGGTTCCCATACTGCTGCAGAGTTTGATGCTGTGTAGATCCAACAAGTGACTTTGCCACTCTGAGTTTCAATTTCTTTCATAGAACAGGGCTAATATATTCGTGTAGTCCATGTTAAGTGTCATTGAGTCAGTTTCTGACTTCATAGCGACCCTATATAAAGTTTCGAGGTTGTAAATCTTTACTGGAGCAGAAAGCCTCCTCCCAGCGGCTGGTAGTTTCAAACTGCTGACCTTGTTCCTTAGCAGCCCAACGTTTATCCTACAGCATCCTACCAGCGTTCCCATTTACCATTTACCCATTCACCAGCCTAATTCCCTCCAAGGTCACTCATCTCCTTTGGAATTGCCTACCATTCTCCCCAAGGCCTGGGAGGTCCTTGCTGTCTGTGGAGCACTCAATTCCAGCCCTTGAACTTCTGGCTGTTTCTTAATAGGTTGATCTTGTTCTTGGTCACAGGAACTTTGTATACGTTGTTCCCTCTTTCTAGCACACTCTTCCCCTAGTTTGTTCAGGGAGGGCCAACGCCTTCAAATCTGCGGGAAAATGATCTATTAAAGCCCACCTTCCCAGTGCACACTAAAGCAGCTCTCCTTTCAGGCCCTATTACTCTGCTTTGTGAAGCTGCTTTTGTTCTTTGGAGCATAACCATCAAAGAATCATGTGTGCGTGTTTATTGCCTGTCTGTCTTGGTTCAGGTTGTGACTCGAGTCAAGGTGTTTAGTATTTTAGTATTTATAATTCCATAAATGAATTAATGGAAGTGGTTGTTCTTTCCAACCCACCCGAGTCTATGGTTTTTCTCTGCTGCTCTGGAGACTTGCCCCAGCCGCCCCACCTGTCCCAGCAGTGTAGGATGAAGCCCCTTGTGAGGGCGGTAGCAATGCCCGGCGGCCTGAGCAGCCGCCCTGGCAGGACCAGACCTGGCTGTCGCTTCGCTCCCGGCCTGGCACCCGGGAGGGGAAACTGGCTGGCGGGTACCGCCCTTCCTGGCGGGGGTGGGGTAGGGGACGGCGGCAGTGGCAGCAGCAATACCCCCTCCCGGGTCAGGTCAGACTGAGGGGGCGTGGACGCGACAAGACCACGGCGCCAGCCTAATAGGGGAGCCTGGGGGTGGTTCCCGGGGCTCAGGAGCACGGCCCGCCCACCGCAGGAGCTCTGGACCCAGGCCTGGGGCTTTCCGGTCCCGGGTAGCCGCCCGCCCGGGAAAATCCCGGCCCCCTTCCCGGCGCCGCGGCCCTGCCCGGCAAAGCGGGGGAGGGGATTCCCGGAATCTGCCCAGAGACCGCCGGCGCGTCACTGGGCAGAATCGGTCCATGTATGGGCAGCGCTTCCGCTGCGTCAGCGGGGAAAGCCCCGGCGCGCGCGGCCGGGCGGGGCCACGTCTGCGCACTCCGCGTCTCGCCCCAGGCATTCTGCCCCGCGGTAGTGAATTGCTGGACTGCTGCCAGCGCCAAGACCTTCCAACCCCCGGGAAACATAAGTCTCAGCGGAGGAAGGCTGGCCTCCAAGACACTTGGATGAACAGGGCTGGAGAGGGGGACATAGGTACTGGAGTGAGCCCCAAACAACGGTGGGGTGAGAACCACACTGTACACTCCTCCCTCCGCCCGCCCGGCTTGGAAAAAAAGACGCCAGAAATTAATAAAGAACCATTTTTTTTACTTAAATAAATTCAATAAAAAGAACAACAAACGCACACACACACACACAAACACATCTTAAAATAAACTCTTTAGCGACCAAGTGCGTGTTTTTTCTCCACAGTACGGTGCAGAGGGGGAGGGCAGGGGGCGGGGTCCCCTCCCCAGTGTTCCCGCGGGCTAGAGTACCGAGCGGCGGGGCCAGCTCCGCCGCGATCGCCCCCTCCTCCCCTCCCTGTTAAATACACAAATATATTATATTCAATATGAATCGAGTCTGTTTCCAGCAGAAAAAAGGGGGGAGGGAGAAACATACAGAAGAAAAAACCGTGTAAGGGGGAGCTTGTAAACGTCGAGGTGGAAGGATTGGGCGGGAGCCGGCGGGCTGGAGTCCAGTGTAGTTTGTGGCGCCCCCAGGCCCCGGGGCGGCTGTCCATCTTCTGCTTCCTCGCCCCCCTAGGAGGCGTGCGCCCAGCCGTCTAGGCTGGAGGGGGTGTCCGTACGGGGGGAGGGGGCGCTCAGAAGGCATGTCCTTTGACCCCGAGCAGCAGCTGGCAGCCGTTGCTGACGTGGGTCATGACCTTCTGTTTGAGCTGGGCCACCTGCTCCCGGAGGAGGCCGGCCGTGTTCGACAGCCCTGCGTTCTCCGCCTTGAGTGTCTTCACCTTGTCCTCCAGGCGCGCGATGCGCTCCAGCTTCCGCTTCCGGCACTTGGTGGCCGCCAGCCGATTCCGCAGCCGCTTGCGCTCCACTTTGATGCGCTCCTGATCTTCCATGTTGATGGGAGACACAGGCGGCGTGGCGTCGCGACTGCGCGCCTCCGGCACCGTCTGTGGTTCCTCTTTGAACGTGGAGGCGCCGCGGCCCAGGCCCAGCTGCGCAGGGTGGCCGCCGGCAAAGGGTGGCGCGTGTGGGAGGTAGCTGATGGTGGCCGTCGGGTACGAACTCCCAGTCCCAACGGCTGCCCCGGCACCTCCAGAGGGTGCAGAAGCGGGAGAATAGCTGCTGAGGTTGGTGTAGACCGGAGGCGGCTCCGGGCCCGCATAGACCCCGCCGGGTCCAGCCGGGGGACCCCCGCTGGCGCCCAGAGACACGTTTGGGGGCGTCACGTGGTTCATCTTGTGCAGGTCGTCCAGAGCTTTGACAAAACCGTCGGCGAAGCCCTCCTGCTCTTCAGTGACGCCTCCTCCAGCACCCCCCGCACCTCCGCCGCTGCCACCCCCACGGGGGTAAAAGTACTGTCCCGGTGGCGTGGGCGTCGTCGTGATCACTCCGTTGCTGTTGGGGACGATCAGGCGCTCCAGCTCCGACGAAGCTAGCTTGAGTGACGCGCCCGAGTCCGAGCCCTGGCTGGGAAAGTAACTGCCGCTGCTGCCCTCCGGTCCGGGACCCCGCGCACTGGTAGCTTTAAGGCTTCGGTAGGGGTCTGCCAGGTTGAGCGCCAGGCTCGGTTTCATGAGTTTGTAGTCGTGTAGAGTGAGGCCACCAGGGGCTCGCCCGTAGCCCGCAGCTGTGTATGAGTCGTCGTGGTAGAAGGGCTGTTCCATTTTAGTGCACATCCGGGCGGTCCGGCGGGTTTTGGTGGGGGGTCCCGGCGGAACCGCCCCGGGCCTCACTGCAGCTAGTGGCGCGCTGTCCGCGGTGGTAGCTGGACTGGGTGTCGGGACGCGCGTTCCTGGGGGCTGGTTTGGGTGGGGAGCGGCCAGCCGGAGGCTGTGCGCGAAGGCTCTACCCTGCTTTCCGTGTCCTTCCTGGCCTCTTTGATGCGATCGTTTTCTCGGTGTCGCTTCCCCCAGCTTCCCGTTCCCTGCAGGTTAAGATGATGGCCTGGCAGCGCTCAAGGTCCCGGCCGCTCTGCCGTGTCTCAGGTCTTTATACGGGATGTCAGCTGCGGAAGTGCGCTCGGATTGGCCGTCGCCGGAGCCCGGCCCCCGCGCCCCCCTCTTCGAGCGTGGGGAAGGGGAGGAGGCGGCTCGCGTCACTGTCAGGAAGCGCGTGTCCTTGTAAACAGCGGCCACGGGCTGGGTGGCACGGCGTGGCTGCAGGGGAGGGACTGGGGGACCCCAGAGTACGCTAGGAAGGAGATGCTGGGGGCCTGGAGGCACCTGGAAGAAGGGCTGAGGAGGGCGCGATGGCTCTCTTGCAGTACACTGGGAGAGAAAGGAGGACCCGGTACAAAGGAAGTGTGTGTGTGTGTGTGTGTGTGTGTGTGTGTAGGGGGAGGGTATACGTGTAAGGTCTGAGGGACCTGGAGTACTCTAGAGGGGTTGTGAAGCTGAGAATACACTGATACCTACCAAAAAAAAAAAAAAAAAAAAACTAACAACAAGGGAAGGAGCGTTAAAGCGGGTAATGGGGAGGGGCAGGGAAGACGCCTATCACAGGAATTGAGTGGGGGGTCATGGAACTTTCACAGGAGGGACTTTAAACCAGAAAAACTGAGAAAGGGTTCATGGGAAGGAGCTAGAGGATACGTTATAACAAGAAATGAGTAGAACTGTTTTCGGGATGGGGGGGTTTGGGGAATTTGATGACCTCCCTCCTCAGTGGAGAGGGAATGAATATGGAGGGATTTAAATATGCAGTTAGTGAGGGTCTTGGGGTACACTGGGCTAAGGAGACTATGCCCTGACAGACACAGGGGCACTAGGTTGGGGAGTCACTGAGGTCATCTGAGAAACCCAGGTGGAGTTAGGATTGGGACACATTTATAGCTATGAGGAAAATGACAGGAGTGTCTCCAGCTGAAACATGAGAGTGAAGTGGGCTTCTAGGATGCCGGAGACAAGGATGTGCCACATCTTCCACGACTAATGTCCCCTTCTCCTTAGTGGTAACCCATAGGCGCCCGAATGCTCGGTCCCCAGTTCAATGGCCTCCCCCAGTGACCCTAGGCTTGCCCGACACCCTGTCAGCTCCCAGAACCTGGGCCCAGCCCGACAGCCGGGGCGCGGTCGCCCAACCCCAATCCCTTCCTTAGAAACGGGCTGGGGAAAGAGCGCGGCGGCAGGAAGTGTGGCAACAACCCCCGGGGAAAGAGCCCGGCCCTGCCTCCGTCACTAGCATCCTACCGGACCATGCACCCCGCCCTGGGTCCATCAGAGGGTTCCGTGCCTCAGAAGAGGAACCTGGGTGTTAGACCCCCGCCGAGGCCTGGGTGTGCCGGGCCCGCCTAGCCGCAGAGACCTATCATCGTCCCCCCACTCCTGTGGTTCCGCTCGCGGTGCCTGCAGGCGACCACGGAGGCAGCTCAGAGACCTTTCCATTAAACAGAGAGAGAGGGGCGCAGCCCGGGAGCGGGGCTTGGTCGCCATAGCAACGGCGGTAGTCCGCGGGCAAAGACTGGGGGCGGAGCGGACCCCGGAGTTTCTCAGACACCCATATAAGGGCACAGGAAGGGGTGGGGTCAGTGCTGTCCCGGGGCCCTGAGCCAGGAACCCCGGTATCTGCCAGGTCCCAGGGCGCGCCCGGGCCCCCGATGGCTAGTCCCGACCAGCCCTGGTCGCCGCCCCCGTAGCCCCCACGGCCGCCTAGCCCAGCCCCGCCCAACTGCTCAAGGGCCGCGTCCTTCCAGGCCTGGCCCGGCCCGGCCCAGGCTGGCAGGTCCCCGCCTGCCCTCGGGCCTGGGTCGGACTTTGCCCGTGGCCCGACGGGGTGCGGAGGAGGCGGGCCAATGCCTGGAGGCACCCCAGGCGCCTGGGCGGGCTGGCACAGCTGCCTCCTCCTTTGGGCTGGGTGCCCTTCCTCTCTGTCTGGAGGTCTGAGCACCCCACATACACACTCCTAGGGGCCGGGGGTTTTCCTCTATCCTGTCTCCTATCTAAGATACTTAGAGGCCCGCTCTTCCCCAGGGTGTCTTCCAACCCTTGAGGGCACCTTTTCTGCCACCCCAATTAGAGGTGAGCTGAAAATCCAAGGAGAGAATCCGAGAAAACCCCGCACACTTACCCATAAAGAATCAAGTACAGATTCAGATAGTGAGGATTCTAGTTAGACTTAAGGTGGGACTTCCAAGTACTTAACTGTGAAACACTAGAACAAGAGGTGAGAAGTCCAGATGGGAAAACTCAGAGGGGGAAGTTCTTTCTCTGTACCTCCCAGGCTTCTTGTCTTCTGGGAGGAGGGAACTTTCTTTGGGGTACAAAGAGGCTGAGACTGAGAAGCAGGGGATGGCGGACACAGAGTTCACTAGTGTGGGGGAGAGAAGGAAAATGAAAGAGACAAAAAAGAAACTGCTCTATATGGGGTTAAGGGGAAGTCCAGCAAAGCAATGGCCTAGGGGAGGAAGATCCCATGAGAAGCTGGGGGTGTCCCTGCCTCTGAAGGGTCCTTGTGACCCCTAAACCCTCCCTCCCCCTTCCCCTTGTGTGACCTGCTCCCCTCCCCCGCTCTAGTCTCAAGGGAGATTCCAGTGGCCGCTGAGTCTGGCAGGCTGGCTGCCAGGCCTGTGTCTCCCGCCCATGCTAATAACTGCAGCTGACATCTGGCTGGGCCCCGTGGGGGTGCAGCAGCGGGCAGTGCAGCGTTGGGGGGCTGGGCAGGGTGGGGCCCGGAGGACAGCACCTTGGGAAGCAGACCTGCAGGTCCCTTGGGCCGGAAGGCTACCGTGAGTCAGCCTTGGCTAGCCAGCTGAGACTGGCCATGCCAGAGGAGTTCTGCAGGGAGACAAGGTCCTTGCCAGAGGGGGTCAGAGATGGAGGGCAAGTCCCAGAGGTCAATGGAACAAACAGAGTGGGAATACTGGGGTGGGGTGGGATGGGGTGGGGTGGGAGGGTAGGTGTCAGGACAGGGAGAGATGCCAGAGAAACAAATGGGGGCAGGCTTAGCTTCATGGAGACAGAGAGACTCAGGGATACTTAAGGCAGGCAGACAGACTGAAAAATAATAATGATTATTTTAATAGCCAACACTTATATGGGTACTTACTTATATGGCCAGGCAGTCTTCTAAGTGGTTCACATGTAGTGGTAAGTCATTAAATGCCTCCAACAACCCAGCAAAATACATGCTATTTGTATCCCCATTAACAAGAAAAACTGAGGCACTGAAGTTGAAGGGATTTGCCCAACATCCCACAGCTATAAGTGGTGGCTGTAACCTCCAGAGTCTAGCCACTGTCATGTCAATCATCACATCAAGAGAGAAAAAGAGATTCAAGGATGGGGAGAGGGACAAGCAGGGAGGAAAGAGGCCTTTATGGAGTGCCTACTGAGGCCACAAGCTCTGCATGCTCTTTCAGAAGGTCTTTATTCTACAGTGAAATGGAGTTGGGTCTAGGGTGTGCAGAGGCTGATTTAGGGTCCCTCCATACTCCCTGCTGTGATGTTTGGGCAGGGGGTGGGGTTTGGGCCTGTGGAGGGAGGGCGGGGGCCCAACCAAGCTGGTACAGCCGGTTCCAGGCCCCTGCCAGTCTCACCCTTGTGGCCTGGGCACCACCCCCTCACCGCCGCCCCACTGGCGCCAAGGCCAGCCCCGTGAGGAGAGTGTGAGGCAAGCCCCCTCCCCTGCTTGGCCTGGGTGCTCAGACTAGCAGTGCCCTGGGCTCCTGACTAGCATCTGGCTGGGAAGTCTGTGTTGAGGTGTCCCCCAATCCCAGGGGCCCAGGGCCTGGGGGCATCAGGATAAGGAGGCAGTTCACCCAAACACCCCACCCCCAGGTCTCTTTGGGGCTTTTGGCCTTGGCATGAGAGACTTCCTTCTTATAAATAACCTGGTGACCCCCCTCCCCCAGCCTACTGACCGACAGGGCCCCCACCAGGAAATCGGGCCTGGGGCTGCCCTGAGTCAGCCTGTGGGCAGGCCAGGGCAAGAAGCCACAAGTCTCAGCACCCAACCTCCTGCATCCTTAGCCCTGGGTGTGGACAGGCAGCTGGGTAGAACCAGGCTGAGGATCATGGAGGCTTCCCCGAGGAACCTCTGGCCTGCCAGCCACTTCCCTCCTCCACCAATGTGGTTTGGGGGACTCAAAGTGCAGGCAGTACCCCTCACCCCTCTCCAGGAGAGGAAACTGATAGGTTTTCTTGGAAGCAGGAAGTAGAGTTGGTCTCCTCAGGCTGACTCAGCTGGGCATGGGGGTAATTTCCTTCAAGCTGATTCTACCCTCTTCCCACCCCCACCCCCCACAGCTGCTGGTGAGGTTTTTGGGGGTCCTGACCATCACTGGAATCCTGATGGCAAGTCCTTAACAGATGAGATAAGAAAATGATCCCACAGCCCACCAGGACTCAAGGTTGCTGAGCTGGGCCTCCTAGGGGAAGTGACAAATAGCAGGGGGCAGGAAGGTAGAGAAGACAGTGGGGGTGATGTTTGGAGAGAGGAAGTGCCAGGATCTCTGGCAGGCAGAGGACAGTCTGGCAAGCTCAGAGCCCTGCAGAACCTTAGCCCAGGCCAGGCCCTGTGTGTCTCTGGTCTGCTTGCAGGCTTGAATGAGGCTGACCTGTTAAAAGAGTTCATGAGTGTGTGTGCCGCCCCATCCCTACAGAGGGGCGTGTAGGGCCTGTCTGTAAAGGATTCTGTTCTGCTTTGACTGTGTTTGGGGGGGGTGTGGGATGGTGGGTGACTGTGTGTGTGTGTGTATGGTTTATGGAATGGGTTGCATGTGACTGGTCTCTGTGTATGTGTGTGTAGGTTGTTTGAGAGTTTATATGGCTAACCTATTCATGTCTGTTGTGGTGTGTGTATATGAGGTCTGTGGCTAGATTGTGTGTGTGTGTATGAGGTCTGTGACTGGTCTATGTGTGTACATATGTGTATCTGTGTGTATGTGTGTGTGAGAGATCTATGGCTGCATGTGTGTGTGCACATGCTTGCACAACTGGACAGGTTCCATCAGAGTGTCTCTGTCT